GTCTCGACGACGACGCGGATTACCTGAGGAGCCTGAATGGGACGAGGGTTCGCTCGGCGTAGGCGTGGCGGGCTGGTGTGGTGGCTTAGCTCGCGAAGCGCGTCTCTCCGCTACTGGAGCATTCACGGAGAGGTCACGCGGAGGAGGTGTAGGCGAGGGGTCGGAAGTCGGGAGCGTGACGTGGTGACGTCGTACGTTCGCGGGAGTAGCAGTAGCGGCCTGCGAAGGTTCGGCGAGCATACCATAGGCACTAACTCTACCTCGCGCCTCAGAAGCTCTCGCTCCGGGCACGGGCTGAGCCGTGGCCAGTCCCTGCACTAGGCTGGGACGAGGGTCTTGCTTCCAGCGCACGGCGAGAGAGGCGCGCTCTTGTTCCTCCGCGGCCTCCGACGGTGAGTCGGTCGCGCGGGTATTGGTGCCCCACGGCTTACGTGCAGAGCTACGATATACGTGCGGGGTCCGAGCGTTCGCGAAGTTGGTGGTCGTAGCCGGGGTTTCTGGGACTTCGTCGCTCACCTCGGCCATCGTCTCGACGCCGAACTCGGGATCCACGGGCCAGTACGTGTCGAGGGGCCATTCCTGGGTTACCCCTTGGAAGGCCGCACTCGGGACGTAAGAACGAGCGCGTTCGCTTTTGAGGTAGTAGTCGCGATATATTTTGGGCGCCGCTTCGTCGTCGACGGGTAGCTTAGGCCGTCGCTCGGGTTCGGAGAGCTTGGGCGACTGAGTAACAGGCCCGCCCACAAGCTCGTTAAGAAGGATGTCGATAATCTTCATGCCTTCGACTACGCGCATATGCAGCATGGCGCAGGTCGCGTCCAGCTCCTGTATCGATTCCGCGCCGTACGCGAGGGTTTTGGTGAGGAGGCGCCCTTCGTCGAAGTGATACGGGCGTCGCTTCTTGACGGACGCGCGCAGGGCCCGATTCATGATAGCCTGGAGACGTTCGACGTAGGAAGTGAATTCCGAAGGTAGCGGCGCCGTAAGGATGTACACGGTGGTGATCCCGTCGGACGCGGTAACCGCCTCGACGATACCCGGGCTAAGATGCTCAGGGATATTGTCCAGGGCTGCGTCGCGCAGAGAGCCGTCGGAAGAGTCGAACTCCTCCCTCAGGTCTTCGCCCACTCGCCGCCGGTATTCACGGTCCGCTTCAGCCGCCATCGTCGGTGTTTCCACCGCGGGCAGCGAAGGCGAAGAGGTGGCGGTAGCGGTAGCCGGCGTAGTCGGGGGAAGGTAAACTTCGTCGCGCGGGTTCCGAGTCCGTCGGTCGCGCTTCCTTTTAGGCGCGCTCGCGGATTGCACGGCCGGCGAGCCTTCGGGCCCGACGTGGAGCAGCGCACCCAGGTCTATACTCGGGTTCCTAGGCGAAGCAGCCTGGCTACCGGGAAGAGAGGAGCCAGGGGATGCTCGTCGGGAGCCTGATTGGCTGCTGGGGCGAGGCGAGCCTGACAGCACAGCGCGTGCAAGGGCGGAAGCAGATAAAAGGGGACCCGCCCGGCTACCGATCGCGACGGGAGCCACTAGAATAGGCTCCTGGACAGCTGCCCGTATTTCCGCGTCCCGACGGGGGCCGGAAGGCCTCTCCGAAGTCGCGACGGAAGTTCGGGAGGAGGAGGACGACGACGACGTCGACGTCTGCGAGGAAGGAGGAGTAATGTGATGAGCGGGTTTCACCGGAGGGAAACGAGGAGAGCGAGAGGGACCAGGAGAGGGACCAGTCGAGCCCCCCGCAGGAGAACTATCCGGGGTGACGAATAGCGGATCCATATTGTCGATATTTTAGCGTAGCGATAAGAGACGATTATTCGTCGGCTAGAGTAGAGTTACTGCCAATTCCTCGGGCTCGCTGAACAGCGAGTTCCGGATGTGTCCACCTTTGTGACGCCGCTCGAGGACGTCGAGCCGGAAGTAGCTCGCTGGAGGGGAGCCGGAGGAAGAGCGAGGGTGACAAAGGTGTGTGGTCGTCGAGCGAGTGACCGAGCGAGCTCCGACTACCGAGGCGATACTAGCTGAACGGGCTCTGGAGAGCCTCGGAACAGCAGCAGTCTCTCGTAGGGTAGCTTATGTAGTCTATAGAGACGGCCTCTGCGTTCGCGCCCCTCGGTTACCGAGAGAGCGAGGGCGGGCCGCCGTGAGCGTTCGAGCGAACGAGCGCGAGCTCGCGAATATAAGCGCGTTCTCGGGCGCGACGACCGAACTGCTAGGGCTAGTCGGTTCCCGACGTAGCCGTAGTCTTAGTGAGGAGGAGGAGCGCGAATACGCAAGAAAGTATGATAATGCAAGATGATCGTCTTAATACAAGCGAGTCGTCGTAACTAAGTCCATTCGGCCGTTGCCGGCTCTATACCACGTGCGTCCCTCTCCGGCCGGCGCCACAGTCGCGCACGTACGGATTCCAATCAGCAAATACGATATGGCGATCTGTATACTGTACAGGTTCAGGATAACATCCTTTGAGTAGCACATCTTGGCTCTACGTTCAACTGACAGGAGCAGCCGACTCTTCCGGATCAACCTGATCCAGCTCATGCGCGAGCTTTACGACGTCGTTCTACGCCTCTCCGTCAGCCTCCTACATCCTGGCTGCAGAAGAACAAGAGCCTGCCTACCCCTTCGCGCGTAATCTTCACGGCGGGATCTTCCGGCCCACGCGCGTTGCGCTTGACTGTATTGCCCTACAGAGGGATGAGCGTCAATGGAAAGAATTGGGAGACGGAGTGAGGGGTACGAACCTTGTTGCTCGTCACCTCTGCACTACCCTCCTCAACAATCTCAGCGACCTTTCCGGAGGGATGGCCGCTCGCTCCCCATTTCCAACTGTGCGCAGTCTGAGCTGACCGTCCATGGCGAGAAGAGAAAGAAGCACGCACGAGACCTCCTGTCCTTCCTTGAGTTGCTCGGCCATTGTGAGTTCGTTCGTTCGAAATGAAGACGACGGTCAGGGCTAAGCGTATGTACGCCTGCAATCCGAAGGACATGTTATGTATGCGACGCTGACGTAGGGCCCGTTCGGATTTGTCTCAGAGTGGGGGCGGACGCGGGGACTCCGGGGAGCGCATCGAGCGCGCGTCAGTCGTCACGCGTCGTTTCCTCCTGAGTTAGGATATAGGGTTGTGTTGGCCAGTTTACGAAACTTCTGGCGGTCCAGCATGGCAGTAGATATAATGTGATCCAGAGGGTATACTGAGTGCGCTGAGCAGGACGTGTCAACCGTGATGAGCGCGAGGAAAGCGCGCGCCTCAGCGTCTGGGTCGCCGGAGTTTCGGCCCGCTGTGACGATCGGCCGACATGACCGCAACCGCGCTAGCATGTACAAGCTTTCTCTTGGCCACGATGTTGACCGCATATCCATGCCACGCAGATATCAACTTCCACTGCCCAATGCCGAATATCCAAATGCTGCATCTGTCTCATAATGTCCGCATGAGTCGCTCAGGAAGAATGAGGTCGCGCTGAAGTATAGCTAAGACGCGAGGGCTCCCATAGACTCACGCGCCCGCCGTTAGCCGCCGTTGTGCTTATGATCAAATACGCACCCAGACTCGATCAAGGCCGCATTGACGATGGCCGATTTCCGAGTACGTAGACGTACGAAGTCGCCTGCCACATTCGAGTTGTCGGCCGCATGAGCTAGACCACCACATTGACAGAGTTGGTGATTGTGGCGCGGCAGTTCACGCGATCGGGTTCACGCAGTGTGACTGGATGAGATGAGTGCTGGATATGGAGTAATGCTACAAGGATGATACGAGACGAAATCGTGGTGCGACAAGGTATGTTGCGAGATGAGCAATACAGTACGACAAGTACACGATAACACGGAGAGCAAGATACATCCGTCCGAATCCGAACGCGAGTGAGCAATGTACACAGTGAGCAACGACGAGAACAAGATAGCAAGATAGCAAGTAGACAACAAGATGACGAGCAAGATAGCAACAAAGCACACGACCAGCCGAACCTCCAACCCCATCGACGTCCTAATACTCCTCAACACTCAACGCCCCCCTCCCCCCGCC